TACAATTCTTTAGGGTTACTAGTTTTAGTTTTTCCTTCTACTAGAGTTCGTTACCTTAAAGGGTACACCGGTTCTTTCTATACGACTTGTTCTTGTCTTTTAATTGTTTTATGAAATGAATAAAGATTGTTTCATTTTGTCACACACTGTCAGAGAGTTCAGATTTATTCCGTAAGGGATTTTCTGTCGACTCTCCTGTTATTCCGTGGAAACTATTCGAATACTCTTAGGGAAAATCAGTGTACCTGAGAATATTACCCACAGATATATATATATATATATAACCCAGAAGATGCATGCACATATTGGTGTATTAATATAAGCAATAAACTTGACTGGTTATTTGATTCTCCCTCTCCGACATTTTTTAGGTGACTGACACCCCTGCTTGTGCATATGATATCAGCCATTTAAATCCTCTATCAGTAACCTCAGACATTTTTCAGACAACCGTGGAATGCCCAAAGCTGATCATAAATTAACTGCTTCAGTGTTTTATCACATTGACCTCTTTCATGCTAAATCTTCGGACTCTACAAAAATAGGGAGTGTGTAGGGTTGTTACTTTAAGTAGAGCATACATATGTGACAGCAGAATCAGCTTCTTTTAATAGTTGCAAGGAGAACTTGCAATTCTCATGAAAGGAACCTGAAAGTTGGTACATACCATGTTCAGTAGCTTCAACTGTTTTATGCGACCATTTATTGTTTCTACCATTTAACACACCTTTATGACAAGCCTTGAAAGATAGAATTTTTCTCTAGAATGATGGTTAAGCCTTTTTTACGAAAAAGAAGAAGAATGGCATTTAAGTTTTAACACACAGTTAGTGAAGAAGATAAAATGTATCCTTAAATACTTCATCTTCAACAGCCATTTTTTTCTGGTCGTGTCTAGGTTCAAATGTCTTCAACTTTATTTCAGATGAGTAACTGCTGCATCATAATTTCACCCGTCATCAACATGTGGACAAAGGACTGACAAATGTATCCATCACTGAATACAAGCATTATTGGTTAGACAAGTTGGCACTGTCTATAGAATGCATACATGTCAATTTTTTTGTATATATACAAATATGCCATTTAGCACTGGAACAACAATATCGTTGTTTTCTTCTGCCAAAACATTCCATGCAAAGGGATAATATGATGTACTCAAGGATGGCCAAGAGAGAAATGTGGAAGAAAAGAGTATGGCATGGATCATTTCTATCAGTTTCACTGTCACCTGAAGGAGGATCATCAGGCGCGCGACATTTACAATAGTGGTGATATAGCAGTTGGTAAAAAAGATATAATACTCGACAGGGGTTTCTTCTCTCTCTTTGAAGAAGTTGTCTTAGTTCACCATTAGGTGGTTTCTGTATGTTCTTTCTTCTATTAGGTGTATTCTTCACATGACATATAACTAACACATCTGTACTTGTTCAATGTGACTGAATCACGTCTTCTTAACATTATTTCAGTGTAAAGCCTTACACACCACGTGTTTTAGTTTAGTGTAGGAAGTGGGTATAACACAAGAAACGGCTCGTCTTATCA